AGAGTTATATTATTTTAGAACACTATTCTTTAAAATAATGAAATTAACATATAATAAAACTATTAAAGAGTTCATGGCAAATAGTAAATCCTCCCAAAACTGTTGCTTTTATTGTTACATAATTTTCTTATAAAAATCGTGGTTTTCTTATTACCAGCAGACAATACAATATAATGTGTGAAATTCGAAGGTCCTTGCCCAGACATCTTATTGTCCTAGGGCTGGGATATGGTATTTGGGGCATGTACAATCTCTCAGAGGTTAAAAAAAAAAAATGGGTGTCAACTCTCAGGCTCAGTAAACTAAATGGAAAAATTTGTAAATAAATCTATTAAATCAATAATATTATATGTATTTATTTGGAAATCAATTGGCCAAAAGAGAGTATCCATAAAAATTGAGTACTCTGTACTTTTCATCCTTAACTATTTTTTCCTTGTAGTTTTCTATATAACTAATAAATGCTACCAATCAGTTACATTTAATAAAACTGGAGCACCTGTTATATGCCTTTATTGTACTGTGGTTACAGTGCTTTGAATTAATTATATCATTTTAATAACCCTTTGGGTTAGAATGGATGGCATAATTATTCACCCCGTACAAGAGAGTCAAAGCGTAGGTTAATCATTAGTTTCATCACATCACTGGCACGTATCTACAGGAAGTAAAGCACAAAGAGCTTAAATAACTTCTTCAAGGTCACATTTCTATTTAGTAGTAGAAAAATGTCAAACATCATTTCCAGAACATGAGAATATAACTAAATGGATAAATGATCAAAAAATCTTAAAACAGTCCTAAAGTCTAATATCCCTGACAATGGCCTAAATATTCTTTATGCTATTGGTAACTATATTAGAAAAATTTCACAATATTATTCATGTAGTTTTATTATTATTATTTTTTTTCAGGCAGCAATGGCTAAGAGATCTGTAGAGCTGAAAAATCATAGAATATTAACTTACACTTTTCTTTAGATTTCTGAATCTTAGGGACTGATCCACTTTTCAAGTGTCACATACAATATTTTATATATATTGCTTTCTTCCTACTTTCGGTGTTTTCCCTCTTTTTTAAAAAAAACATTTTAATTGACCAACTTGACCAGCCAACCTAATCAGCATGGTTATTTATTAAGAGCCCAAATTATCATGTCCTTGAAACACACTATATACGAAGAAGGAATAGCTCCTCAGCAGGGTGGCTGAGCACCTGTTCAGCATCTCTGCATCCCAGAAGCACATGCTCTAAACAATAGTGCGTCCAAACAATTAACACAAGAACATTTTTCCAGGGCTAAGTGGAAAGAACCACCACTTAGTCTAAAAATGCCACAGAAAAGGGAATTATAAGTGGTTCTATTCAGTTCCTCTTTTTAAGGAATCATGTATTTATGTGAATCTCACATTTCATGGAAATAAGAACTCTAAAAAGTCTCTCTTAAAATAGACTTGCACTTTAGAAAAAGAAATTTATCCAGTAGGTTCAGGAAAATTGATAGAATTTTGCACTATATATATCTTTAATCTCATTCTCAGTCTCTTTTCTATTTTTATGAAATATTCATGAATTATATTCACTATGTGGAAGCCATCAACTGCACTTAGAATTTGCAGGCATACATAACAATGTACATGGCATATTTTATTTCCTTTATTCTCTGACAAGCTATTATGAACATTCCTTTCTGTACTCTAGATCCTTATTATGGAAGTTAATGTCACTTGAAAGTTAGTTTAGAAAATAAATAAAAATGAAGTAAGACATATCATGAAACTAACTAATGGTGATATACTGAAAATTATATGATTGATGAAGTATATTAAATCTTCTGTTTACAGTCTTTTAAAGGACTGCTAATAATTAACTGAAATTTAAACTGTACTGACAAGCACAGATAAGAAATTACAATTAGATTAATCACAACACTTCTTACCTCAATTCTGAGAAGGGATATTTTTATTCCCCTCCCTAATATTAGATTGAACAGAATATTGTAGCATTGGTATATTTCAATTTCACTTTTATTTATTGGGTTGTAAATGTATTATATTCTGTTTCTTTTATATTAATACATGATATTTTTCATAAAGCTTCAGCATATATGTATGATTTTTTTTTATTTTGGTATAACAGTACTATACTGTTATGATGAAACATGGCATAAGATGGATTATCACACCAGTTATTATAAAAAGTAGCAACTTCTATCACATGAAATATTTTGTGAAAGGATGTGATTAAGGCACTTGATTGTCCTAAGAGTTTTAATTAGCAAAAAGCTCTAAGTTTGCTTGAGAAATAAAGATGTAGTACTCAAGAAAGAAACTAAAATTACTTTAGTTTTGACTTTCTTTAATGTATTCAGTAAGTATTTTCCTACAACACCCAATCTAGTTAACATAAAATAAAAAAAATTGTTAACAGCGTATTTACTTCTCTTAACATGACTATTTTTTACAGACTTATAATGAGCATTCCAAGCCTAGTAGGCAAGTAATGAATGGTGGTAAATCCAAAAGTGACTCTTCTACAATTTAAATTATGCTTTAAGGGGCGGGGGGATATGCTTCTAAAAACCATAATCATTATGAACTATAAAATGTTATTCCCTATTTACTCATTTTGTTTCCTTTGCTCACTTTATTTTCATATTGGCATGTAAAATTTTTGTCACTAATAGATGAGTCAGTGTTGATTTATTTGAGCACATGTATATTGAGACCCTCCGGAAAAAAGATATTGATACTTGGTACAGTCATAAAAAATACAGTGACATTTTTTTTTCTTTCTGAAACCTACAATTGTGAAATAGTATGATCTCTACAAGTTTCTGCAAGCAATTAATATTAAAAGTAGCATGTATAAAATAAAGGCATGTATAAGTAAGAAGTTATGTTGTCCCTTTGTCACATGGAAAATTTTCCTGGTTGAGCAGGATTATTGTTGAACTTGGGAACTGATAACTTTTCCCACGTCCCTGAAACATTCACATAATCAAAAAATATATTTAATACAATTCACCAAATACATGTTATCATATTGTTAAAGGTAGTTACTCAAAAAGGTAAGGAGTTTAAAGTTAAATCATTGAAAGAGGTACCTGGTTAGTACTTAAAAAATATTTCCTCGGCAAAGGGGAGAAAAAAAATACTCCCTTAATTAATCTCTGGTTGCTGAAAGGTTGGCACAGATATCTTCTTCTGTGTTGAAGGTTTAAATATCTATCACAGCATTTCATACATTTTAACTTGAATTGAAAAGCTTTACTTGTCTCCAAAAGAAAAATAGTCACATATTACTTACATAGTAATTACAGGCTATGCAGCTGCCCTACAAAGATTTAATATAAATGTGTTAAGCCTTAACCACTACACAAACCTTATTTAAATCACATTAAATATTATGCCAAAGAGATGTCATCCTCCACACCACTCCCTACAATTGCTTACACAAGAACAATGGCCATCGCCCTAGTCTGAGACCTAAATAATGTAATAGATTCAATTTACCGATTTAGGCTAAGGTTGGTGAAAAGTCATTACGGTTTTTCCTCACCAAGAAAAGAGGTCTCTTCCCTTCATTATGCATAAGTGAAGCTTATGCTAATGTATCCAAATCTAAGAACAAATAAGCTTCTTTGAAATACTATTTAAAAATTGAGAATTCAAGAAAAAATATATGTCTTTTATCATGATAAAAATACAACCTCAATTTCTATATTTCACTGATCCGTGCTTTATGCCTTTCTATTATACAATTTAAAGCTTATACAGCATTTCCATTTGCTTAATACTTTAAAAATATTTAACTGGTCACACAAAGTACTATAGTACTATCACACCGGTAACAAAAGAATCAAAAGGTCGAACAAATGAAATGTTTTAAGGGAAGTTAGTAGAGGTATGACTTCTCAAAGTTTCAATGCTATCTACAGAGGCCTATATATAGAGGCCTATATATTCTAGACATGTAGTTTTAATACTGTTTTTTCACTTGTTTGTAATTGACCTTTATAGCAAATGAACTTGGCAAGATTTGGAGAATACTGTAGTGACTGAAGTTGTCAGGCTTTTTTTAACGTATTTTATTTTACTTTTTAAATTTTATTTTATTAGTTTCAAATATAAAGTACATTGGTTAGACACTTATATAGCTTATAGAAAGATCCCCTAATTGCTCTTTCTCTCCACCTAGTCATTACATTAATGCTAACTGAATTCCCTATATCATGCACCCCATCCCTGTGACCATCTATCATCTACTGATTTGTACTTCTTTAAATCTTCACCCCATTTTCCCAGCCTCCCAATCCCTTTCCTCTCTGGTTGTCACCAGATTGTCCTCTATATTTGTGAATCTGTTTTTTATTAGTTTGTTCTTTAAGTGAAATCATATTTATCTTCCTCTGTCTGACTTATTTCACTCAGCATAATAAACTCTAGTTCTATCTATGTCATTGCAAATGGTAGGATTTCATTTTTTTAATGTCTGAATAATATTCCATTGCATATATGAGCATTTAGGTTACTCCAGACCTTAAAAGCTATATTCAGCAGCTTTTTGTTAGTGATGCTCTGGACAATAAAGGAAGGCAGACAGTATCTAGTGTGTACTGAGGCATCATGGCAACAGAGCAGTAGTTGAAGGAGGCAATTGGAATGGGTAATAAAGAATTGAGCAATGATAGAATGGAAGACCTACGAAGATCCATGAAAAAGAAAGCACCTCAGGAATCCTTTATATTTGGGGATTATAGATAGAGTGGAGGAGAATTAGAAGTTTATGGGAAAAATTCAATAAAAATGTGACATCAAAATCCTGGAGGACTTTAGTATACAAAACAACAGATATATGGCTTGCGATTGTAAAACTCCTATGTGTGAAAATAATACACTAAAATGTAAGAGTGTTTGGTGGAGCAACGGGGGATGTTGTCTTCTTTTCTAATTATTCCATGGTTATCTAACAATTTTTCGCTTATATGATGTTCTTACCTTCCTCTTGGCAAGTCTGCATCATCCTTTTTCCACCGCACAGTTGGTTGAGGATCACCCTGGACTTGACAACGAAATTCTACAGATTCTTCCTCCAGTACCACCTGGTTAATTGGCCTCCTGAGAAATGTGGGTCGTTCTTAGGGGAGGAAAAAAAAGATAAAATGAAATAAATTTGTGCATGCTTTAAGTACATTATGGAAAATAATGTGTTTTTTTTTTTTTTGGTACATATGTACTTAAGTCTCTCTCAACTATGTCTTGATAAGGCCTTATAAATCCAACATAATCAAATAAAATGAAACATCTGGGAACATAGAAATAGCTATGGTTTGTTTGTAAAACCATAGAACATTTTGGAAAAAATATTAAATTTATTCTTCAGTGAATTCCTGAGTCAAATCATGTAGATCCTATCATTAAAAAATCCAAATGCAAACTTCCAGAGAAATAAGGATAAAGATAAAAATGATTACTTTAATCTATTACAATGGCTTAAAGTGGAAAAAACTAAGAGTTGAAACTAATAGAAAAAATCAAAAACGAAACAAATACTATAAAAAAATTAAAAATCCATAAATTTTTAGAGAAAACAACAAAAAATTATGCTCTTACCCATCAGCGTTATATAAAATTCTCCACTTAAGATATCACTTAACAAGAAACCAATATCTCCATGAATGTTTCACTTCAAGTATGAAAGCTATCTACCTGATTTTTTCTTTTATTAAATAAAAAAAGCTGTCAATCTGATTCTTTTCTTAAATAAAAAGCACTGTCATTATTAATTATTGTAAACTACTTATTGTCATACATAATTTTCTAAGGCTAGTTTCAATTATCTTTTCCTAAGTGTTCCAGATATTCGTCCTTTTTTTCTTTACTTAATTTTTACATTTATTTATTTCTCTAACATTCTATTTTAATGTTTCCATACTTTGATCCCTTGTTAATTTGTACATCACACTATTAACCTGCATCCTAGTACTCCTCTATATAAAGCTAGGAAAAAATAATAACTTTCCATAAGTATCTAATCATGTAAGAGAAATATAAAACAAAAAGTAGTTTTACATATCTCTAAATACTTTAGTTCCTTGTCTACTTTCTTCTTTTTTTGATATATGTCTGATACAATAAAATTATCATTTAAATTTTTATAAGCACATGTTTCCAAAGCATAGGCTAGTACAAAATGCTGCTACTTATTCAACTAAAAAGAGAAGTGAGGGAAAAGAAATATGAAATCCATAGGGAGTTGACACAATTTATCTGGCCATATGGTCATATTTAGTCACTTAGACTTTAGTTTCAAACCCAATTTAAATATGTGAATATAATGGCACAAGAACTGAAACATATTTAACAAGAAACCTTTAAAGAAAATAAATCACTTCAAATAACATATGTTGAGCATAGAATGGAAGTTTATGATTTTATTGACTAAAGATCCATATTTATAAAACAAATGTGTGAATTACAAGAGCCATATTTTATTGCAATGAAGTCAACCAACACTGATATTGAGAAGGAAGACAACTGTGTCTCTCCACGGTGAAGTTGACAGTAGGAATTAAAATTTTCTTTAAGACACAGATCTACATATGCTCAAATATCTGTACTTTGAAACCCCAAAATCCCAAGCCATAAAACAAGACTAATAGGATTTTTTTTTAATGCAGAATTTAGAAATAATCCAAAAAAACTTAGGAAACAAAGATTGCTTTAAATATTTTAAGTAGTAGAATCAATTAACAGCTAAGTATGCCCCCTCTCCAATGGAAATAAAACAAATGTTGGATGAAAGGATTTTGTTCCTTTTGAACTATGGACACTATGTGCACCAAACAGTTATTTTCATGCTGGCATAGTTGATACTGAGGTATTGTTTCTGGCAGTAAATAGGCAATAGGATCAGCATCTCCTTATAAGTGCTTGGAATGTTAATAGCAAAAATGAATCATTAGAATAGAATGCAGGATTGACTTTTTCTTTGCCATCGCTTGGGGAATTCATTCAATTCATCTAAAAGCTGTGACGATCCAATGTTCAAAACAGAGCTAAGGTACTATTGATATTCTTGAGAATGAGAAATGATCTATCAGGAGACTCTTTCTGGTCCAGCTGATTTTAATGGGGATATTGTACTATAACCTGGCATATGGATGAGCAATCTGAGAGAAGTCTTTTCCTCATCCACTCATTCATTCATCACGTGTTAATACAACTTCTATGCATGGGTTCAAGCTTGGTAGCTGATGAACAGACAGAAGCTTGGTATCATGAGAAAAGTGGTAGGAGATGAAGCTAGTCAAGATCATGAAGTGTCTTGTAGGCCATGTCAAGAAATGTGAGTTCTGCACTGAAAGTGATAGAAAGCTGTTAAAAGGTTTTAAGTTAGGAAGCTACATTTTTAATAAGCATATGAAAAATTATGTTGACAAATCTGTGAAAGATAAATTAGCAGAGAAACATGAAACAGTGAATTAGGTCTAACAGTTATTGTAAGAAATCATTTCAGCTTAGACTGACCCAGCAGTTCAGGGGATATGGAAAAGGGGACAGAATGAAGAGATATCAGACCTGAATGAATAATCAGAGGTGAAAAAAGAAAAGTCTAGAAAGACTCTCAAGTAACCATTTAGCAAACTGTAACAGATTAGCAGGTAAAGTATAGACATAGGGTTCCTGCACGCACGCATGCATGTGTGCACGTGTGTAGACATGTTAGATATGAGAAAAATGAACCCATTACGCTCAAACCATTGTTACTCAAGTTTCTGTTACTTGAAGTCCAATGCATCTTAATTAATAAGATAAAAAAGACTAATTATAGAGAGAAAAAATAAATATGATCATCTCTGTATATATAGAGAAAAACACTTGGATTAAAAAATCTAAATAAAGAAGGAATGAAAAGAAACTTCTTAAGCGTGATAAAGATTTTTTATCAGAAATTAAATGCAAAAATTATAAAAGTAGTATATGAAAGTCATGCCTATTAAAATCAGGAACAAGATGTACATGCCAACATTAATAATAAGAAAAGGAAAAAAAGTGTGTGTATCAGAGAACTAGAATAACCATTGCTTATAGACACAGTAATACAACATAGAATAATAACTGCTATGCAACAAAAAATAAAAACTACATAAGATCATAATAGCAATGCTGGCAGTCTTAGAAAATGGGCGATGTTAGGATAAATTGTGATTGGTAAGTCATTGTAATGTTAAGGCTATCTATCTCTCTATCTATCATCTATCTATCTATCTATCTATCTATCTATCTATCTATCTATCTATCTATCTATTATGTATCTATCTATCTATATACCTACCTATCTATCATCTATCATCTATCTATCATCATCTATCTATCTATCATCTATCATCTCTCTAACATGAAAAATTTTCATGGCGTGACATTGACTATAAAATAAATTACATAACAGTATGTAAGACTAGTTAAAACACAGACAAATATTTTCAAGAACAGTTTTTATATGTTTCCTTCAACATCCGACCAGTCATAAAATTACGACATATGAGTGTAATTAATATGAGCAAACTTCACATAGACTTGTCACAAAACTAAAGTTGTCTCTTCATCTAAGGAACACCATCAGGCTCCTTGAGAGTTTTTTAGGTATCATACATGTTCTAAGCTCCACTATTTTATATGGAGACACATGGAAGCACCTAATTTATAATGTCAAGAAGAAGCAAGATATAGGATCCCCTGCTGCTGTTCTGATGAACTCAGCAGGAGTGGAGAACTTCACAATGAACCTTCTCTATTCCCTTCTGCCCTCAAGCAGAGTCTAGTTGCCTAGCAACTAGATAACTACAGGAGTGTATGCAGTATAGAATTTTTGGAAGCCTAACATTGGTGTAAAATGTAATTCAATTGATTAAAAAAGAGAACAGTGCAAAGAATAACCAAGATAAAAGTCATTTACATATGCATGGCACATCAGGATGGGTTTTATACCTGAGTATCTTAGAATATGCCTTCCAACAAAATAACAGTGACATTTACTACTGCATTGAAGTTTGGTCACAACTTTTAAAGTACTAGTTTGAGAATTTCCACAGCACCCATTACAGCAATCATCTCTAAATCGTATGATTCATTATTCAAACTGTTTTCTGCCAATTATACAAAGCTTACCTCTACTTTACAATTTTAACTGCCTACAAAAAAACTATATGCCAAAAACTAGATTTGTCTGTCATTTGTTTAAATAAATTTTTTTGGTAAAAACTTTTTCAGTTTCTTTGACCATTTTTTATTTTCAGAAAATCTGAGAATCAGAAACACAAATATTAAAGATTAAAGAAACTATACAGGCATAAATATATTTTAAATGCTTTGCCTTTGCAGTGGCTACTATTATTAGCATAAATCAAACACAAAGCCATGTTTCTTTTAGACAGAAATTATAAAAATTACAAAGAAATGTCCTGGAGCTAATTACTTTGTGTCAAAATCACCTGCAAAGAAATGTAAAGTTAGAAGAATTAGAAAGTTAAGTTGATAAAAGAATCATCCAGTAAACTAATAAGTGATCTCATTTAATACCCATTAATGCCCCATGGAGTTTGTATCCCAAGAAGCTTTGCACAATTAAAATTATAAAAATTATATGAAACATCTTGAACTACTGAATAATGGACAATTTTAAGACATGTCAAAATAAGATCACTGATGTTTCCATGTTATCACCTTATGTCAGATTGTTTATTGAAAAACTAGGTGAGAAATCTCAAGGGCTGTTCTCTAACTGCTCATCAATTAGATTAGAGTTCCTCTGAATGGCCTGATCCCTAATTATATAGCCGTGGAGTGATCAAAAGGCAATGTCTTTGCCAATGCAATTAACATTTTTTTTTTTTTTATGTGAGATTAACTGGATTTGAATCACCTGCATAACTTGCTTACAAGGTTAATCTCTCTTGAGACAGTAGTGTTGTTTGGCAGTGTGGTACTATGTAAAGTACAGCTCTCAAGTAGTCAGAACAATTTAGTTCCAAGTTGGTATTCTGGAAAATTCAACTTTATATGTGGCTGTTATAAAATCAAATGCTGTTTCATTGTAGTTATGTCAATAATAGAAAGTAAAATATTCAGTTTAAT